TTTTTGTGATTAAAACATGGTTTTCAGTATGACTACCCTCACCTGCAGCAGGCCAGGATAGCATTCTCACGAGCAGCATTTTGCTTTTGCAGCAAATTTCACATGAACCAGAAAAAAACCCAACTCCAAAACCAATCAGGGTCTCTATATAACTCATCTGAAAGGATTACTGGAGGTCTGCTACTTCTACTTACCTTCGTACTAGGCATCTATTCAAAAACACAGTTCCAGGAACACAGGAACCAATGAAGACTGCTTTCCTATGGATTTATGTCCATGATTAATTGCCTCTGTGTCTAAGGTACAAGCTCTAATTGAAGCTGGTCTCATGCCTGGAAACTTATAAATGTCTCTCCCTTATCTGGATTACTGGATATCAGCATAGAACGCACTTTTCTTCTTTCTGCATTCTTCTCTTTCACCTGCACACTTAAAAAAAAAAAATCTAAAAATGTAGTGACTGTGAGGTCTGCCAGATGTGGTTGAAATTAATTAGCTGTTCTGAAGCTGAATGACAGAACTATTGTGTATGCCATACTTCCAAAGGAAAGGGAGAAAGGATAGTGCCTACTGCATCAAGCCTTGGTTTAGTTTTACCACCTCTTTTTGGTGGTAAAGCCTCTGAACTACTGACTAATACTCAAGTTAAAAAAAAAAAAAAGAGCCACAACTGAAGACAGTATTTTTTAAAAAAAACCCCACACATTATTGAACATTTTTTAATATATATATAAAAATTAAGCTATTATTCTATTTTGTCAAAAGAATCACTATTTACAAGAAAAAGCACTTTCTCCCTATACCTTTCAAGCAAAGCAGGGACACAAAAGCAAACCATGCTGCTGAGCTTCAATTAAAACAAATAACCATTCAACTATTTTATCTTAAACTTCAGCCCGCTCACTGGACAAAAAAAAAGAAATCCCAACACCCAGTACTTCCCATATCTGGCATTTCTGTCAGTAATGATCTCAAACACAGAAAAGTGAATTTGTTATAACTACTGTTTTTCTCCTCTGAGTATTAAACTCTTCTGGTGGGTTTTTATTTTTAAGCAATATAACCTGCTTTTAAGAAGTCTTGTTTTGGAAGCTGGCACAACCTGACGTTGAAGTTACATTATATTTTTCTGATCTACAAAACTTGTCTGTAACTGGCACATGAAAAATAGTATATGATGTTCCTTTGTTGTAACATTTTACTTATTGCAGTACTTACTTGCCACTTCCTGCATGCTCCTAGGGGACTTTCGAATACAGAAGATGTGGATACAATTTCTTTTTCATTCTGTTTTTGCAAGAAGTCATGTAATCACCTGTACCTTCAATTATTCTTCCCTAAAAAGATGACAGTTGAAATTACTGAATGTTTTCCCTGCAATGGAAAGTTGCCTCTAGCTTTTTATTTTCCTGTTGACGTGTTGGTCATGCATCAACATTTGCCACAATAATTCTTCAGGTCATAAACCACTCATTTTGGGAGAATCTTTGTTAAGCAAAGGAGTTATAGTTTCTTTAAAAAAAAGCTACCATACAAACTTAGAAAAATCTTGTCAGAATTTTAGTATTTTTCACTGGCTTTATAAAAAAAAGTCAAGTCACTACAGACATCTGAAGTAAATCTCTTTCCTGATAACTTGAATTAT